TTGACCTGGGTTGGACCAATCGTTAAGAGTGTTCTACCCAAGCTCCCCCAGGTCAAAGAATCTTACTGTAAGATCTTATAAGATTCTTGTACTATTTCGTCTAATTTCGTAAGATTCGTATAAGAATTTGTAAGATTTTGTAAGAAACATAGAAACTGATGTTTGATGTAAGATCTTATATTGAGATTTCATCAAATTTCGCAAGATTCTTGTATGATTTTATAAGATTTTATAAGATGAATCCGTTTCTATGCTTTTCCGTGAGATTTTATAAGATCGTGTAAGATCTTGATCTGATTTTTTGACCTGGGATGTTCAAAAGGACATATCTTGATGTATTTACTGCTTTCGATTTACTGCTATAAGTGCTTTCAATCTTTAGTTTATACATGAAGTTAATACCGTCGCTGATCCCTATTATGCAAATATCGTCGAATCAGTTCAAAAGAATTGTCAAAAATTAGCTACGGCAATAGTTGCGCAGTTGACAAAATATCTTAACAAAGAGAACATTGAAGACGGTAAGAGACATTTTATTTAGCTCGCATTATGTTATGTACGTGTTTCATTTTTAGAAGAAAAACCGTTTGCGTTAGTACAATTCATCATGAAACATTATGGAGAATCAAAAAGATACATATTCAATCAGGTATGACTGCCGGTCTCCGCTCGATTTTCCCTTTATTTGCGACCTTATTTAATTTAGGAACTGATACATGCATTTCCATTGATACAACCAAATTGGTCGATTAATGGTCAACAGTACAAGTTGTATATTGAAAGTCAAGCAGTCACCCAAACATCATCACAAGCAGAAGCAATAGCAGCATTAATTGGTTCATACGAATTATTCAATATGGTCTACCCGTCTCAAATAAAACATACACTTGAAACACTTCATGGTTTATTTTTTTCCAAACGGAATGTTTCATTGAGTTTGGGAACTCGACGATTTCTGGAACGTTTCAAATTTATTTGTTAGCCTGTTTCTTTGTTGGTTAGTGCTCCCTTTTTTTGGTGTGATTACCTGTGTTCTTTGAGCACAAAACATATTTTTTATTTGTTTACGGTTTTTATTTTTTATGGCAATATGAACCGTAAGCTGTTTGTGGTTTTGCTCAGCACTCTATTTTATTAGTGAAATTATTTGTTATTGAAAGAACATTGATTTGATGGAATAAAGGGATGAAACAGTTTTTCAAAACGATTTATCGTTACAAACCCCGGATATCCATTCCTACCTGTTCATTCATATCACTATTATCATCTCTATGTTCACCAACACCATCACCACCATGTTTATATTTCATCACCCTATTTCTTTCAACATCAGATTTTAATTGACGTTTCGCTTCATTTATTTGACTAATGAAGGTCGCATATGTATTCTCATTCAAACGAAACGCTCGTTTCGTTGCTTCTAAAAAAATTCAAATCACAAAAACTTCGACATTCGCTAAATCAAGCCTTCACATAGCAAATCTCACTTCATAAATACACACATACCTGTAACTAAACGTACACGATCACTATCCGGTCTATGTATATTATTAATTATTTCTTCTTTAGAATACATAAACATGCACAATTTTCTCACATATGATGACATCGTAGTGAGTTCTTGCTTAAATGTTAATAGATTAACATTATTAAATTTCTAGAAAAAAAATCACAATACCAATTGTTGAAAAATTTGCTGTTGTACTCTCAACTTCAGGATGAATTCGGTTGCTAGTTTACCGTAAGTAACAGGTATGATTGCTCGAACAAGACTTATTTTATCTTGCACGTGTAAAATCTCTGTAGAATCTCAG